AGAAAGAAAGAAAGAAAGAAAGAAAGAAAGAAAGAAAGAAAGAAAGAAAGAAAGAAAGAGGGGGGGATGAGACCATCCTGATAGATAATTTGTCTGAACCACCATAATTCTAGAGGTACCACCAGTCATGTCATATACAGAACACAGAAGCAGCTTAGCAGCTCACTGACTGGTACAGTATTTTCCTCTGCATTCCAAGCTGCAGATGGAGGCACCAATAACGTTTTCCTAATATGAATTTCTCCCTTGATTTGGGGCATTCTGAAAGGATTCAGTTGTATTTCCAAAGCAGAAACAACGCATCTGGAATCTTTTTTGTAACGATTTTAAAACAATCTAAATATGTGTTTCTTTTCATACATTTTTATGTTAGCCTTTCAATATAAACAAAGGTGGCACAATTTCATCAGGACCGATGATCACCTCTGGTCCTTGAGCGGTGGTATAATTGGAGCAACTATCCGAAAAGTAGTGCAGGAGGCCAGAACAAAAGCTAAATTTGATTTAATTTAATTCATATGTAATTCATATTGAACACAGTTTGACCATGCTGCACTAACCTATTTAATAATGTTCTTGTTCACTCACATGAAAAATTATAGTTTGATAACAAATTTTAGAGGCCTCTGGAGGCTGCATTCAAGATTTTTCAGACTATGCAACAGTGAATTAAAAGTTCGTAGAACGGCTTGCAACAAAATAAAAACAAAACCAATAGCAGTGGTACCAGGCAACATAATATCGGTAACAAACTGAAAGTTTTGTGAGGAGAGCTGTGCTTTCTCTGCATTAGCGATGTTCTTTTAACAAACACTGCAAAAGACAACATTGTTGTCGCTGTACATAAGTTTGTATCAAGTTTCCTTTCACTTTTATCTATGTATGCAAAATACACAATATTGGTAAGAAACTACAAAAAAAGCAGTTTCTCTGCCATCACATTAGTTTGCGCAGGTATTTATTAATACATGTGCACACTGATAATAGAGAGGAGAAAAATGTGCCAATGAATGGAAGGAAATGAGTGGTATAGTAATCAGCAGATACTCCAATTTAGCATTTAATTTTAGAAATTCTCCTAGTGATCTGAATTTAGCAGGAGCAAAATGCAGAGCAGAGTGAATAATGAAGGAGGAGCGCAGGAAACCTCTTCATCACTAGCTGAGTAGGGTACTCTAAAAAAGAGCATTTCATCCATTGGTAAAGAACTAAGAATGTGTGTGTGAGAAAGTATACTTAAAGGCAAGGAAGCACACTTATGCAGGTATGGTGATATGTCTGAAGGTAGAATAAGGTTCTGTTGTGCTTTGGATTCGATTCCAAAAAAGGCACTTTGGTGTGCATAGGAGTGCAGATGTCTGCAACTCTTTAAAAGCAGTTTAATCTTTTCCTGGGATTACACAGCTGCCCTTTGCAGCTGCCATGTGATCCACAGAATAAAGTGGCTGTTTTAAAGACTTGCAGACACATGCTATTTTTTTCACTCTGTGCATTCTAAAGCACCTTTTGTAGAGGAGTATGGAGACAGCTTTGAAGAAATATGTGACAGCCATTAGCAAAACAAACTTAGCCTGAAAAGACAGGAAGGAGTAAGAAAGAAATTCCAGACTGCCTCACCTTGATTCTCTTTAGTATAAGAAGAAGGGAAATAAAAACACTGTCAGGTTTTCTATACTCTATTATTATAACCTATACCAATAAAGAGAGCCAGTTTGGTGTAGTGGTTAAAGCACTGGGCTACAGACCAGGAGACCAGGAATTCTAGTCCTGCCTTAGGCACGAAGCCAGCTGGATGACCGTGGGCCAGTCACTCTCTCTCAGCCCTAGGAAGGAGGCAGTGGCAAACCACTTCTGAAATCTTGCCAAGAAAACTGCAGGAGTCGCCTGGGGTCAAGACTGAGTCAAAGGCTTGAGAGAAATACTGATAAAGTAGAGTTCCAGTATTTTTTGTGGTGTCTATTTCCTGACCTGGTCTACCTTAAAGGGCTGACATATTTTTGGAGTCAAGTCCAAAGCAACATGTAATCCTCAAAAGTAACCAATTCACTGGCATTTTAAAAATAAAACAGATAACAGTATCTCAGCAACTTCTTGATAATTCCATTTGCTTTTGTTCCACCACTGGGTGTAGTGGTGTAGAGTATGTGTCCATGGGAACTGCTCCCTAAGCAGTTGCTCACCCTTCAGAGAGCATTTTTTTAATCCGCTCTCTTTCTGTTGTCGTCTCCATGTCAGCACTCTGGCTCCGGAACAGCTTGTCATCTCCAGGACCATTAGAACTAATGACGGGGCTGGCCAGAATCTGTCAAGCGAAAAAACATGAGAGTCACGTATGGAGGGAGGGGGTCTACTTTGCTATCCCCAAGGCAGCTTGCTAAGAAAAAGAAATCCTCCCACCACACCCATAAACACATACACAGAAAGAAGTACCACCAAGTGGGTAATCTCAGTGCCACGCTAGAACTTCTGAACCTGTCCAAGATCCAGGAACATTCAAATCCTAGAATGTCATCCCTCTCTTTCTCATATCCAAACTAGAATAGCATTCTTCTCTTCCTCTTCATTTTTAAGAGAATGCTATTCCTCTGAAATCCTTTGCTTCTAGATACTCAAGCGTGTACTGAAACTATTCTGTTAAAATTGTCATATAGCATTTATATAGCCAAAACTATAGTTTCAGAAATCCTATATAGTCATGACAAAAATTCTGTTAACTTTCCCTGTCTGCTCTCTTCCAGGGTGTTGTGTTCTCTCATTTTCCTCTTCTCCAGGCCAATGGATTGTTCAGACATCCTCCTCCTCCTTCTCATGTACTACCAATCCATTTATGCCTAGCCTAGGGAACACAATGTTTTCCATCCTCCAGATCCATCCATCCCTGTTACCCAGGAGATCAGAGGAAAACAGTCATCCCTTGGCAGTGTTGTGAAGGGGACAGTTCTCTGTCTTCCAAGCACAAATCAGGGCTTTCTTGTGTCTACTTTCTTCTCTCCTATGCAGCTAGATTAGCAGGGGAAATCAAAGACATGTAATTTGTGGACACATGTAAATCAAATCCCTCCTTACTGTGGTGGTGGACAGCCGTAAGATTAGGAAGCACATGTAGAGCGCCAACAACCGCTGATATTTCCAAATGACTTCTACTCTTCTAAATGGGAGGGGTACACATGAATGTCCTCTTCCTCTTCCACACATCCATATCATTTTTTGAGTGTTTCTTATCATTGGTGATAGCACCAGAAAATAAAAGCAGCTGAGTACAGAAAGAGTGAAGTACATGGATGGATTGGCTATGTTTCATACATGAAATTATTGAAATACAACTCATGGTATATTTCACTTCACTTCAAGGTGTTTATAAATGGGACAGTGGGTGGAAGAAACCACATCTTGGGGATGTTTGTCCAATTGTCATCTCTCTGGAGTTGTTCCTGGATTCTTGAAGGATGTACCCCTTTCAGGAAGTGAGATGGGTGCCAAACAAGTAATAATTCTGCACTCTGCATTCACTCAAAAGTCAGGAAGAAAACACATAGGACTGTCTCTGGGAACTGCATAAATACCTTATATGAAGGACTACCTCTCATCTGCTTGCACCCTATACAGTATTTGGCATCTAATAGCCTGCTTTGGAGAAGTGTCTGCTCATGTTCCACCTTTCCAATCTGTACAACTTCCTCTCAAAGAGATCTTGTTATGCTCCTCTACCTCTTTTTTGAATTTTTGGGAAATGGCAATAATGTTTAGTGGTGCAGTTGGTTTATATACTCTTCCCTGCTGCTAATTTAATTATTTAATTAACACATTATCTTTTCTTTAATCTCATACTGTACTTTTTACAGTATGAGCCACTTTGAATAGTCCTTTCAGGGATCAAAAAACAGGAACAATTTTTGTGGAATAAATAAGTAAATAGATGCATAACATACACCCAAGAGAGAGTCCCAAAAAGATTCCAAGAGTTCTGTAGTTCTGCTCTAGATTCCTCCTTATTCACCTACACAGCTGTCAGGACCAGTCCAGGTCCAGAGTCAGAAAGTGATAAAACTTTCTTGCAAGAAGGCCACTGTCTTTCCACTGGCTCCAGCATGCCTATGACCAAAAAGGAACTGGCATATCCTAAATAAACATCTCAAGTCACAGAAGCTGCTCTACTGCTCTACTGATGGTATGGGTACACTTAACCAAGTCAGTTAAACCTAGTGGTTGCATTCACACAATATATTGAGCTTGATAAGTTTTAAGTTTGATTCATTTTTTGTGGTTGGTATGCTCTGAAAACCCTGTCTGTTTATTTATGATTCAGTATATTGTATGAATCCGAAAAATAAGTTAGATCAGTAACCAAATTAAGTGTAGTAGTTAATTGGCATTAATATTATAATATTAATTATTAATTATTATATGATTATAACATCATAAAATATAATTATATTATAATATATTAATTAATATAATATTAATATCAATAGTTAATTGGTAGTTAGAACCAAGTCATGGAATCTGCAGAGTGAAAGAGGAAAAAACAACTGAGTATAGTCTTTCCTAGTTCTACCATCTTCCCACCTAAAGTAGTGGGACCCCTGGAACAGAAGCAGTAATAAGCTAAAGCTGAAACCAAATTCAGAAAGCCCACTGCTTGTCTAGCAGCACAAAGCTTCCTGTTGCTGGCCCTCAGAGCCACCTGTTGAACTGTTCCGTAGCTGCCTTACTGCCACAAACCCTGACCCTTCTGCTATTGCCCTGCCTCTTGACTTTTCTGCTGCATCTGCTATTGCTGGGATCAAAGGACCTCATCCCAACAGTAGAGGTCCTCCTTTGCCAGCAGAAGTTTCCAGTTTAGTCCCCAATATCTCCAATGCAAAGGCTCTTTGGCAGCAAATGAAAGAGAAGGACCCTTCTCAGCCCTGGATCCTGGAGAGCCATGGCCAATTAAAATGGACAATACTTGGCAAAATCTGGCATGGGCCAACACTGGATGCATGCAGTTCCCTGCCACATTTTGCAGCCTCCCCAAATCCCCCCAAATCACACTAAATTCATCTGCAAAATGCTAATATTGCACTGTGCAATTTCTTTACAAAAATAACAATGAAAACAAATTATGATCCTCAGAAGGGCCCTTGACAGAGGGTCAAGATTTCCTGCCCTTGACAGAGAGGTTGACCTGAATCATGTTTAATTTACAGTGAATCCAGCCATCTGACCATGGGTTGGTAGATATGGGACCTAGTCCCTTCAGACTTACTTGGTGGGAAGTCAAACTGAGAGCAGGGCTGGTTAGTTCAGTCTTATCCTGTGACTTCTCTCTTGCCAAGCGGGCAGCTTCTTTTACCTCTTGGAATTTTGCTGCAAACTGTTTTTAGAGTACATGGAACCGAAGACAAAAAATATCATCTACTGCTCTGGAATTTCCAAACAAACCTAAGCTGTGAAACTGCAACCTTCATTTCATCAGCTCCTCACCCTCTCCTGCCATCTTTCCTCTCTTTTGCTGAGGACTGTTGATTTTCACATACTGAATGATCGGAAATCAATGTTTTCAGGACAGGAGTAAGGATTTGGCTGCAGGATTAAGAGCTACAAGCATATTTCCAAGACTGAGTTTCAAATTAACTGTTACTAAGGCAAACACTGTTGTTGCAATAATGGGAAATGCTGGGAAGCAGCCATTCACAGAGGATCTGTAGAGTTGAAAGAAAGTGGTCATCTCATCTAGTTCCCCCTATTTCCCCTTTTGGTACAGGAACCTTGCAAATAAGACATCCCTGCTTAAATATTTCCAGTCAAGATAACTCACCACTGCTGAATACAGTCTGACAGTTCATTATTAATCAACAACTGCCACTAGAAGGAATTTTTTCTGTGCATCTCTTTCCTTGCAATTTGTTTGTTCTGGAGCAAACACAGAACGGGTCTTCAGTCTGACAGGTTTTTGAATAACTGAAGATCCATTCAGACAGCTTTATTTTTATAGTTTTATACCTCATTCTTCAGTCTGAATAATTTGAGTAACTTACAAAATCATTAAAGTCACTTGTTTATACATGACAAATTGGTTAAGAGTTTCAGACTAAGGCAACCCAGCCTTAAATCCCTATTTAGCCATGAAGCTCACTGGGTGACCTTGGGACAAACTCATATATACTTTCTCTTACATTCACCTACCTCATAGGATTATTATGAGGAAAACAAGAAGAGGCAGAAGCACTTAAAAGGAAACATTATAAGCAATAAAGAAATAATTCAATGAAACAGTAAACAAAAAGAAATCAGTTTATAATGATTAGAACAATTTCAAAAAGTAAATTTCATCTGGTGCCCAAAATACATTACATGATACATTAAGCAAGCCTTTCTGGGGTTCTCCCCTCTTGTCCAAAAGAAGGGCTGCTAAGGAAGATGGCTCATGTTTAGATCAACCTTCCCTAATCAGCTGGCCTCCAGATCTGTTGAAGTGGAATTCCTATTATTTCCCAGCCAGAAGGACCCAATAGCTCTGTGGGCTGGGATTGATGGGGACATAGTCCAACACACCATGAAGGGTGGGGAAACTGATCTAATTTGTCCACAGTAACTGGCCTTGTTACTTTGTAAAGCTGTAAAATCCTTCCTGAGATTAAAACACTGGTCTTTGTGGCTTTAAAGCAATATAAGAAATGAGAACAGCCACTAGTCCCTTCTGAGATGTTCTTGGATCCAATCTATCCTTTACAAACTTCTTTAGTAAAGTGGTCCTTTCCCCATCCAGTTCCTATAATTCATTACCTGAGAGAGATGTTGTTCAGAAGCAAACCCCAGCCCATACACTGTGTTGGCTCTGCTGTCTGCCCATTGGCCAAACTTCTGCGAGGTCTTTGTGAAGGTCATGTTGGGAGTGATGGTGCTGTTGATGATGGCCTGTGAGAAAGACAAACATCAAGAATTTTAGAGTCAGACTAGAAAAGGAATAATTTCCACAACAAGCAATTGCATGAATAGTTTTTGAAAAGTGGAAAGGAAGCATGGGTGCAGGATGCAATGATACTCAGGCAGGTGACAACAAATTAAGTGTGTGTTCCCCCAGCATCTTGCTGGTGTCCCAGTCTGGGCAGTTCACACACCATGTTTACAATTTACTTTTTAAAGAGATGTTCACACAGTTATGAACATTGTGCAAATAATTTCTTCTTTAGCTCCAAATCAAGATAGTTGACAAATTTAAATAAGCATATTTTGGAGTTGTTGGATGACCAAATCAGACTGCTTCATCAATAAAAAGATTATCTTTCTGGGATAGCCAGCACAATACAGTGATCACAATTTCATGGGAGACAGTGGTAGAAATTCCCATTCAGCAATGAAGGTCACTGGGTTGACATGAGGCTGCTTATCATGTTTCAACTTAATGTACATACAGAATCTGTTATGAAGACTTTTTAAAAAGTATATGCCTTAAGTTCCTTAAAGAAAGACAGAATATAATCATAACAATTATTTTTCATTACTAGTCCTCATTGTTTTAAAACAAGAAACTGGAAATGGGAGAAGCTGCTTGCCTCTTAGACCTCACCTTGGTGCCTCCCACACTGATGATCCGATAGACATTGCGAGTAGCATCATAGAAATAGGACACTGTCAAGGCATGCTTGCTGGCAGGGATCCAGTTCCTCTTGGTGGCAGGATCAATCTGAAATATGTGGGCTCTGGTGCTAAAAATTGGTTGCTCCCTGCAGAAGTGAAGAAAATGGAGCATAAGGGGCTGAACTGTAGCAGGGAAGAAGTCGGTAACTCCTATCACTGAAGGATGGGTTTCTCTACTCTAATTCATACACACATGCACATGAACACACATTCCTCTAAGTCAGGGGGTTATGTGAAATCCCTGGGAAGGGACAAAATTAGAATTTCAGAGGCTGATCCCAGAGAACAATTGACAAATAATGTCTTAAACTGTCATTATTCTTCTTGTATTTAACTGTGCGGAAGGTGCACTTTAGTGGGGGGTTCCGTGATAGCTAGTTTAGATATTAATTATGATCAGAAAAGAGGTGTTTTGATATATTTGAGGACACAGGTGTACATGTATGTTCAGCCCACATACATATATAGAAATATACTCTCTCACATATGTACATGTATACTAGGAATGTAAAGCAAACTTTTCTCATGTTTCAAGACTAAACAATGTTCTGTCTCTTCTGATACAGATTGATTTACAGATGAATTCAGACTTCTCACTGCTTTCTACCTCCAAGCTCTAAGCTCTGATCAAAAAGGGGATTGCAACATCTTTAAATTGTTTGAATGTCCACACTCTCTCTTTCTCACACACACTCCAGCACACACACACAGATTATAGGAAGATTAAGACAAAGCATTACCTAATTGTTGACATTGGTTAAGACTGATTAAGGCAGCTGGCTTGGCAATAGAGGTAGTTAAAAGACCAGGTCATCTACCATTGGGTTAGTACAGTTGCTGGGCTAATATCCCACTTTGGTTAGGGTCTGGCAGCAATTCATTTCCTACCAATGGAAATGTACACTGTTAATTGACACTGGAAAATACAGGAAAGGAGGAAAAAATGGAAGAAGAATGCACATAATATTATTTCTAAATTAGACTCAGCTAAAGCTCTTTAAAAATGTTAATCTGAAATGATTATTGGCTTCTAAAAGGAAGGGGGAGGGAGAAATCCATGCAGCTTCCAAATGCTAGGTTGTAACAGCTTATTAACAATTCCATGATTTGTGTCAGAAGGGTAACTAAGGAACTGGGCATTTTATCACACTTGTACTTGGATAAAAATGGCAACATCTGAAATCTATGGAGAGTTGTTAGAATTTTTTAAAAAATCCACAAACCATTAAATTATGTGTTTCCATATCAGCATGGTTTACAAAGACAAAGACAAATGTCAGTTTGTTCACAACGGGTCAGATATAGCAGTACCCATATAACTTTTCATTAACTGTAGGCTTACAGTGAAGCCATTCAGCCAGTGAGTTTTACTGAGCACAAAGAAAGGTGACAGGGCAAAAATTATTGGGATTGGTCTTTTCACCAACACCATAACATTTTGAACAGGAGTGATCTAAGACATGTGAACCTTGAATTTCAGTAACAGCATTTGAAAATATTTAAAATTTGCACAACACAACCATCCTCAACTATAATGGTTTTGGTTTCCTGATGGGACATCAGTTGAGAACCTTCCTTGGTGCCCAAATGCTCCTCTACATCCTTCCAATATTCTTTCTTTGTGAAGATAAATAACTAAAATTTTGAAACACATGATATAGATGAAAGCTGTAGGATTTTATAGGCAATAATGGAGGATAGTGTACTTCCATTACAGTGTGTGTAACTTACCGTACATTTTTCAACCTATGTTACAGGGCACATTTCAGCTACAAGAGTATGTTTTCACTAAGGTTCTTTTTGACCATATATTAATGCACTAGAGCATGTGTGTTTTCCAGTCAAACATTGCATGCAGACAATCTGAAAGCCAGTCTACTGATAGCTTTTATTTTTGCAGTACTTTATCCATGTGCATACATGGTTATATGAGACAGTGGTAGAGATGCTACCTGACTAAAAGCTGCTGCCTTAGTTATATTATTTCAGGAATTAAAACGTTAGAAACTCTTCTGTTCAATAATAAATTAATGAGGAAATGATCAGGTGATCCAGGGTTTCAAAAGAGTAAAAAGAACAAAACGGGAAGGAAGGTGGAAGAGGGAATACTTTCTTGTCTTTAGAAGAAAGCTGGAGCTCAAGCAGTTTGGTGTCCCCAAGGCTTGCACTTTACAGCCAGGCTCACATGTAGAACAACTGCTGAGATTGCTATTTCTAATCTTGGAACATTTTTATACCCAGCAGCTTACATGCCAACTGCATATGGTTGCCCAGAGGACAAAAGGGAGAACTTCATACTCAGCTTGAGAAGATTTCAGAGTTATAAACTATCCCTCACCATCACAGTCTCATCAAGGGAATTAAAATGAGATGCGGGTTATCCTATGCAAGCCAGTGGGGACAAGGATCGCCCTTCTCAAGGTATCTTGAAGATCAGCCTATTACTGTGTGCTCAACTGCTCACTGAATAAGGAAGAAAAGCTGGATGTGAGGAGCACAATAACTAGAAGAAGAAATGGAAGGAAACCAATAAAAGGAAGGAAATGACCCAAGAAAAGTAAGGCAACAATGGAAACACATGCCAATGAAAACCAAAACCACCAATGTAGGCAAAGCCCTGCTGTTTCTCAATTAAGAAGAGCGGATGTAAGGATGAAGGAACTGCCTTTCTGGAGATCTGTCTAGTTAATCTTTCTTGTCTCCACCAGTAGTGAATTAGAAAGGAAGTGCATATAAGGAGAACTGGGAGGCTGCTTCTGAACATTGAAATAAAGTCAATTAAAAGAGGCAGGCAAAGTGAATTCTGCTTGTAGGCTATGCTGATTCAGTATCTTCTTACATCTTGTTAAAGCCTTTGACATTTTCATGGGAAGACCATAAGTCTATGTGAAACATCCAAATATTGGGGCAGTCTATGCCTTAGCAGTAAATACCAAGGAAAAGAAACATGGACAAAAACTATTAGCTTCTTGCCTTATTTGGGGGCTTTCTAAAGGCATCTGCCTGACCAATGTTGGAAAGAGAACACTGATGGGAGCAAATACAATTTAGTTTTATCCAACAATGTTCTTTTTCTGAACAAGGAATGTCCATGTTAAGAGTATTATTCTGCTGGTGAGCTAGATGTATCTTTGTTTTGCTCCAACTAAGCTACTTCTTATATTGGTTCGTTTGTGTTTTAGTTATATGTAGGATTTCTCCAATAGTTAAGGTTCTCTGTATGTTAGATAATAATTACCTAAAATGTATACAAAATAAAAACAGCTCTAGCATAAAAATAAAAGGAAAAATCACCAGCAGCAATCATCATTAATGCAAAATATCTAACAAGTGATATTAAAATATTTTGATTAAAAAAAAAGTTCTTTAACTGACACCAGAAAGCCTACAACAGATATCAGGCTAGTCATTCTAAGAAGGCATTTCACAAGCTAAATGAAATCAATTCATTCAGCACTGAGCCATTCTCACACTAACCAGATAATATTATACAAGATGACTGACTTCATCAAGCCCAAACTGGCTGCTATCCAGAAGTCATCCCACTTGGCCACTGTATGGAAAACAGGATGCAGGACTAGACACGTCTGGTCTGAATTTAAAGGCAATTGTCATTCTTTGCTGCCTCTGATGGCTGGAATGCCTGTGGTCCCACTTCTCTCTGTTCATGCAAAGCACTTTTAAAATCTCACACATATTTTTGTGAAACCTTTGGTAGGACCTCTGGCTGTTCAGAGAGCTACTTTCTTTCTCCTGTACTTATACTCTTTTTGTCAAATGTAGATTGTAAGCCAAGGATAGCCAATAGCTTTTGGGATAGGAGCTGAACCAATTGTGTATGTGTACATGTACGTGTACATATATAGGTAGCTTCTGAAGTCTGAAGAAGTGATACTGATTTATCATCACTAATTTTTTGGTACATTACTTCAACTTTGGATTTTTTTTTAAGGAAAAGACCAGCACGTAGCCCATTAGAGGACTAATTCTTTCATCCTTATGTTCCAAGATTTTAAGTGAGCCAGAGAAGATCAAAATTGGAACAATGAACAGGAGAAAATGTGAAATATCATTATGGAGAATGATGGAAATGACACAACATCTGAAGAAAAGGTAACTCAGAATGTGTTATTTCTTCAAGTTTATAATTAATGGAAAAATTTGGTCTCTGTCCATCCATACTCTGCTGGCCTTTGCCACAGCAACTTTCAAGCCATTTAAAAATGGTATTTGAAAGCTTGGGGTCAAGCCAGCCATCTTTTTCCCCTCCTTTTTCCCTGTTTTCAATACAGAACCTTGAATGTTGCATACACATCAGTAGATCCTGACAATGCCATGCTTCACTGTAGCACTTTGTGTGTACAAGAGAGAGACGTGGCAAGGAACATGGAAAGAAAAGTAATTTATATACAGAAAATAACCTATTCCACAGGAAATATCCCTACTTCTTGCTGTTCTGCCCACATTTGCCCTGCTGTTTTAAAACAGAGTTCAATAATGAACAAAAAAGGAACATGAAAAAGATATGCATCTCTAAACAATGCACAAAAACATTTCAATTCTTGTTTCTTACTTTCCTTATTTTAAGAGGTACAATATACAATCTGAGACTCCATGGCCATTTGTGACTCCTGAAAGTCTTGGATGTGGTGCCAGACACTTCCAAAAGTTGCTATCATATTATAACAGAAGTGCTTTTGTGTTCAATTTTTTTCAAACTGAAGTGGCATAAAAACACTTATAATAAATAAATAAATAAGCAAGCAAGCAAGCAAGTATGACAGGAGGGAAAATAATTCAATATAGAAGTGGAGAGTAATCATATTCACTATAAGTGTAGTTCTAGCTCCACTCACATCTTTGGAGAGTGGTGCCCATTTAATGTTTCCCATTTTCTGGACACAATTCATGGTCCAGAAAACTTGTGCAGAACAACCTTATTTTCATATCTTGCTATCTTGCATATTATTTTTTTCCTTCTTTATTGTCTCTTTTGTTTCTGTCCAACTAGCATTAGCAAACACATGAATCCTTTTCTTCAACCAAGGAACACTTGCACGTCTACCCTAACATACCCCCACATTAA